AGCAAAAGCAAAGACCCTTTTAAGGACCTTCGGTGAGTCTGGCAAACTCCAGTTTATCTGGAGTGCAGTGGTCAGGTACCCAGTCATAGATCGGTATGCAGTACTTAAAATACTATTATTAACTTCTTATTTACTAAAGTTTCCTAATTCTTAAACTTCTCTTGTCGTGATTTTATTTTTAGGAAGATGTTGAACCTCAAAAGGTTGCATTCCTTCTGCATAAGCAATGGACTTTATATAGTTTAACTCCCCTATATAAATTCTCTTATACTAATCTCAAGGAATATTCTAAACTTCTGAGTGCATTTATTACTGCCGAAAAGCAAAAAGGTCTTGCCGTGGAAGTCGGGGAAGACTTCAACATCAAAGTGACTTTCTCCGCTCTCCTGGGAATGAAAGGGACACAGAGAGACCCGGAAGCATTTCTTGTCCAGGTACAGTACAGAAGTGATAACTTGCTCCCTCAGGGAAAAGAATCTGCATTGTCTTGGTTTGGAAATTGTGGTATTTTTTTTACACTGTTTTTAAAATTCCTAAGCTATGATTTATAACTTCTTTTATGTCTTATTTGACCAAATCATAGTAATTAGATATGGCCAACTTAAAAAAAAAAAGTTTGTTTCCTATTACAACATAATCATGTTTATTTTAGAAAACTTAGAAAACACATGAACGTTCAAAGAAAGTTAAAAACCACAGTTTAACATTTTGGTATACGACTGTTTGGCAACAGACAATCTGAATAGGCCTATATCTACTACAGACATTCAGTCAATAATTAATGACCTCCTAAAAGAAAGCACCAGGCCCAGCTAAGTTCACTGGTGAATTCTACCCAACCATTAAGGGAGAAATGATACCGATTCTCTGCATCTCTTTCAGAGGATCGAAGCGGTGAGAAAACTCCCTAAGTCATTGTGTGAGGCCAGCGCTACCCTAATACCTAAGCCAGACCGAGACAGTACAAGAAAACTAGAGCCCAGTATCTCATGGATATAGTTACATCTGTTTGGCTATCTGCATCTGTGAGAACAAGGGTCATACTTTTGCAGTAGGGCTTTTTTATTAATAATTAACGTTGGAGATGATTACTTATGTTGTTAGGAATTCTTTAGTTCGTTGGTTTTTACTACGATTAAGTTCCTAGTAGAATTTTAACAAAAAAGTATGTAACGTATCGTTATGCACTGTGATATGCCAAGTTACTCTCAGAAATGTAACAATTTACATTCCTTCCTATATGCAGTGTATAAAAGTAATAGGACTAACTTTTGATTCATTAAGAAGGTGGATTTATTTTATTCATGCCTGCTACTTCTGTTTTCTTCTGCGTTAATGCATCTTAGTGATAAATTCTGAAACAGTTGAATAGTCCTAATTTTGTTTATTTGTATAGATCAAGCGAACTATGGGCAGGCGTGATCTGCTTGTTTTTGTAGATGAGGTTTTATTGGAACAGAGCCCCTTTCATTTGTTTAGGAATCATCTGTGGAAGCTTTTGTGCTGCAACAGCAGAGTTGAGTATCCGCTACCGAGACCGTGTGGCCCACAAAGCCTTCAGTATTCACTGTCTGGTCATTCACAGACAGCTTGCTGAGCCGTGCTCTAGATCCTGGTGTTGGCAAGGATCTCGAGATTCCTAGGATTAGCTTCAGCTGCATATGACAGAAAGCCTACATAACAGTGACTTGAACAAGTTAGAGGTTTATTTGTCTTATAAAAGAGGTATCCCCAGGTGAGCTGTTCAAGGCTGGTATAGGCTTTATGATATTAATAATCTAGGCCCCTTCTCGCCTCTCTTCCATCCTTGGTGCATGGCTTCCATCCTTACGGTCACCTTACCGTCTGAGAGGGCTTCCGGAGCTCTAAAGATTCCCTCCACGTTCCCAGCAGGAAGTAGGAGGATGGGAAGGGCGAACAGTGCCTGCCACTGAGTAAACCTTTAATGAGCCTTGCCGAGACCCAGCAGCTTCTCTTTACATCCCAGGTGGAAGGAAGACTAGACAAATTTTCTTTTTTAGTTGGTGCTTTGGCACCCCCAGTGAAAGCACCGTTTTATTGTGTAGGGGGAGTAGATACGGGTAGACAGTTTGCAATCTCTGCCAAGTGAAGCGAATGGTTGATGCCGCGAGAGCTTAATGGGTTTTGCGTGACATCAGGCAAGCAGATATTTTTGTGAAGAATAGAAATGACCTCTTGCATTTTTAGTGCAGTGTCCTAATAGTTTTCAAAATAAATTTCATTTCTTAGCAGGGTTATAGGACTCTGTAAGTTTTTTAAGTGTGACAGACAATATATATGGGCTTTAAAGTATTTGAGAGTCACTTATAATCTCTTGAACAAGAAGGAGAACTGGTAAAAGTAATGTTAAAACATCTGTGAATATCTGGAAGGTATGTTTGTTGTGTAATTTACTCATTTAAAGTTTGAAGGGTTGGTCAAATCTGCTGGAAAATATAATCAAGATTCTAAAAGATCTCAGTGGAGTGGCACAATGGGCCAATTGAAAGAGATCGAGATTTTAATAGGGATAAGTTTATTGCCTCGATATAGGTTGAGGAGATTTACCTATTAGCAAAAATGAATATGTAGGACTTATGTAAAGCTGTTGACTAAAAACTAGAAAACTATTGCAATCTAAGATTATAGTAATAAAAGTATAATCTAGGTTAAAGATGGTGACAGTCCTGTAAACCAGACCTTTTTGAAGAAAGTATGTTCACTTTTGTTCACTCATACAGAAGAATTTCAGAGCAGAGTGAGAACTCGTATGTTTGTCACGGGAGGACGGTCGGGGAGGCTGGGGATGCTGAACCCTGCAGTCTGCGTGGTAGGGATGGTCAGGTATTTGAAAGGCTTTTCCTGCAGAAGAGTGATCAGATCTGACGCGTTCTGCATGTGCTCACTATAGGGCCTAACGTGAAAGAACACTGTAGGCTGCCATAGGAAATACTGACGTCTTCCTCAGTGTAAGAGGTCAAGCACATCACATTTGGTGACCTTTTATGGTCCTTTCTAAAGTTGAGATTTTTTTTCTGGATACTGTACCTGGTTATGCTGTGTTGGCAACATCCTTTATTTGCATTTCTGTTGTGTAAAGATCTTGCCATATACCGTGTCTCTAGAATGTAAGAATATTAGAAAAAAAGGTCAATTAACTTGATAAACTCCAATAATGCTTAGGGACACTAGTCCCTCTGTGTTTTTTGGCAACTAATAGAACATATCTTCTTATTTAAATGTACTAATTAATTTTGAGAAGATTTAATTTCGGAATAAATGTACATTTGGATTTAGTGACCCTGTTTTATTTTCCTTCATAGATTCTGTCAAAATCTCAGTTGCCATCTGAGAACGGAGAAGGTAAAGTGTTATGGTCCGGTTGGTTCTGCTGCGTGTTTGGGGACAGTCTTCTGGAGACGGTTTCAGAAGACTTCACCTGTCTGCCCTTATTCCTCGCACATGGAGCAGCGGGTAATACAGCCATAATCGGGACCTGGTTTCAGAAAACTTTCGACTGTTCTTTCAGTCCTTTAGCAATCAACGCGTTCAATCTTTCCTGGATGGCCGCCATGTGGACCGCGTGCAAAATGGACCAGTACGTGGCTGCTACTGAATTTCTTTGGTCTGTACCCTGTAGCCCTCAAAGTCTGGACATTTCTTATGCCATACATCCAGAGGATGCAAAAGCTTTGTGGGACAGTGTCCACAAAACACCTGGGGAAGTTACCCAGGAAGAAGTTGACTTATTCATGGACTGCCTTTATTCACATTTCTATAGGCATTTCAGAATTCATTTATCAGCCACAAGATTGGTTCGGATTTCAACATCTGTAGCGTCAGCACATACCGATGGAAAAATAAAGGTCAGTTTGAACAAATCTAGTTAAGTGATTTTTCCTTATTGTTGCATAGTTTTCAAAATGTATGGTAATTGCATTTTCCACGTGGAAGAAACATATTTGAATGTCGCCAATTCAAGACAGTAGAGAGATTTTATTTTATGCTTTATAAATGGTTTACTAAAAAGTCTTCAGCCTTTTAGACGGAGCTTTATGGAAGGATACTATATGCTCTGTGCTACAGATTTTGGTAATAATATGAATTATTTTCTAGTAATTTTGAAACTTTCAAAATTGTTTCTTGTCGGTCTTTGAAATAATGATCAGATAACAGTGGATTTGTGCGTTAGGTAAGAAAATTATAGCCAGAAACACAGAACTAAGATACCATCTTTATATTTTAGGCTTTTCTGTCCCTAATGAGAAAGAAATAATAGAGACATTGTTTTACTGTTTAAAAAGTCCTGATTAGAGGAAGTATCAGACATAAGCTGAGATTAGGTACTCAAATATATTAAAATATATAAATATGTTTAAACTATATTAAAATACAACCACAATAAACACTCAGTGAATATTGGTTTTATCACTGTGCTAGGAGTTTAACGTATCTTAATGCTAATCTTTAGACCAATGTTGTGTTTAGGTGTTTTCATCCACATTTTATTTTTAACCTTTTCTTCTTTGCCCCAAGATAACTCGCGGATTACAGTCCCAACCTGACCCCCAAAGTTCGCCATGAAATATCTCGCTTTTATTATTATTTTCACATTGCTCTAGTACATCCATAGTCTTTGGAAACAAATGACATCCTATTTATAGCACTGTTTTTAGTAATTCGATCGCTGAAAATGTCAAATCTTAGAAAACGTAGCATTCCTGTGTGAGCCACACTTTTTTTTCTAAATGAGAAAAGGGTCAGAACGAGGAAACTGAGGCCTGGATAGGCTTAAGTGACACATGCAAGATAGAGGAGTCAAGATTCGAACGCTCATCTCTTAGGTCCCAAGAAGGTCACCCTCTGTGAGCACCACGTTAGTGCTCTTCAAACTGGAGGTCACAATGCGACAGGTTGGGAAATATTTTTGATGGCAAGAGACCAGCTTAAAAAACAAACAAAAGAAATGGAATAGAAAATATAAAAATGAGAGTGTATCACATGTGGTAAGGGTATACGTTTATTTGTACTGGGTCATGATGTCAAATTTATTTTTTACTGTAGCTTACAGTAAAAAATTTGCAAGATTATACTATATGATGTTTTGACATGAAGGAAAAAAAATGTACATTTTAGCAATTCAGAATTCAGTGTTCAAGAAGTCCTTATATATTTTTGAATTTTGTATCCATATGCCCACACTCTATTAAGCTGCATTTAAAAAGTTTTATATTATATGTTCTTAACTATATGCATATGAGAGTGGTCCAGAAACATTTATGTTATCTGGTCCGTTCTAAATCTAAAAGCCTCCCTTAATGATGTAAGGTAGTAACTGTGGCTCCTAGGGTTAGATAATGCCATGGTGATAACTAACATTTATTAAGTTGTTTCAGGTGTTATTAAGCATTTTACCCATTTTGTCTCATTTAGTTTTTAAAACAACCTACACACACAGTTTGTAACTTTACATGTGTTGTAAAGAGGAACCGTAGCTCGCAGGATAAACAGGTTCCCTCAGATCACACAGCTAATAAGTGGGGATGGAGTTTGAACCCAGTCATTTGCCTCAAAAGCTTATGCTTTTAGCTGCAACACTACTACCTCGCAAAAGTTTGAAGTCAATGTGTTAACCAGGTTTCTGCCATCTTCTTGGTTTCTACAAGGTACTTTTGGAATTTATCCCTTTGAGAGAGAAATTATGGACCCCCTTTCTAGAAAATGTAGATACTTAATTTGCATGTAAGTCCAAGGAGTTCATGGGTACCCCTTCCTCCCCTTCCTCCTTAGGCACATAGCCCAAGCGTGGAAGCCAGAATAAGTAAGAACCCTAGTCTAATTACTTCTGAGCACCATTGACTATAGTTGTAAATTAAAGGTAGAAGTCTTCATTAAACAAAATTTATTTGACTTAGAACAGCAATGGTTTGGGTTTATTTTCATTTTTAACTTGCAGATAGGGAATTTAAAACAAGCCTGGAATATTTATGAAATCTCAAACTACTTTATCATAATTAATTCTTTAAAAATTTTAAATGTCTCCCCCCGCCCTTTTTTTTTTCCAGATTCTGTGTCATAAATACCTTATTGGAGTGTTGGCATATTTGACAGAACTGGCAATTTTTCAACTTGAGCAAGGCCTTGTGGGGACTATAAGGTATGGATTATATACCTTTTTCTCATTGATTATTTGCCTAATTGCCAAGCCGGGAGGGACTGCCAGAGGAGTGGACATCCATCTCTGCGTGTTTCCTCACAGTGCCTCTGGAGCCGCCTGGGCGGAAGCTGAGAGGGACCTAATATACGAGGAGGGCGAAGGTGGTGGTGGACGAGCCACAGCCAAGTGTTCGTGTGACACCCGTGTGGATCCAGGACGCCAGTCTTTAGAAAATGCTGAGTTGTTTGTTCCTCATCTTTCTAAAAAATATGTGATGGTTATTATTTCAAACTTTTAGGATTCAAATGAGATATCTTTAATATTGACTGTTTCTGGTTTGGGTCTTTAAAACCTTTAATCCCTTTTAAGTATTTAGACTTGCATTCAGAGAGAAGTTCTGTCTTGTGAAGACATTTTCCTAGCACCATTTTGCTGTAGAGGACTAGCAATCAAAAAATCCTCTCCAAAAGAAACTAAAGATGAATATAGATTTTTTCTAGCCACTAATATGCTTCTGTTTTTAATATTCAATTCTTATTGCAGTGTTGAATTAAATATTTACTTTTAAAATGAAGCAGCGCGTTTATCAGTGTCTTGGTGACAGATCTTTAGTTAACGTCTTAGGAATGGGAAGTCATGGGCTTTTTCTCCAGCACAAAGTTTACAAGCCGACAATTATATAGATCTTACATATTGTAGAGTTGAAAGGCACCTGTGAGCTGCTTTTGAGGACAAAGATTTTCTTGTTTAACTTTCATGTCCCTAATTTTGATTTAGCAGAACGCTTGGTAAATATCTGTAGACTAAATGAATTTTAACCAACTTGTCCATTTTATAGGTGGAAACTGTGAGATCAGCAAGTGAGGTAATATCGAAATCTCTTCTTATTACTAACTGAGCATAAGAAGGTTTCGTCTTACTTTAGAAACAATGTTTTTTTAAGAATCTTGTTTGGAGGAGAGTAACAGGAATAGGCTGTCTTTCTAAACACAGAGGTTAACTTCTGCAGTGTGGTATTCATATATACGAGGGGCAGCAGAGGTGGTAGGAAAAGCGTGGAGTTTGGAGTCGAACGTTCCTTAATTCAGCCAATCTTAAGCGTCGACTGTGGACTTAGAATCGTGTTGGGTAATGGGGATATAACGGTGAAGACTCAAATCCCAGTCTTGTGGAAATCCTGTTCCAGTGGAGGGAGGCAAAGGTGGATGTGGAGGTGAGTGCTCCAGAGAAGGCAGTGTGTGTGACGTGAAAGAGGGTGGGTGGCACGGGGCTTGTCAAAGAAGGTCTCTCTGAGGAAGTGACGTTGGAGCTGAGTCTTGGATGATAAGGAACCAGCCACGTCGTTTGAGGAAGGGCGTGCCAGACAGATGAACTGGCAGGAGCAAAGGCCTCGAGGTAGGTACGAGCTGGGTCTGCTTGAGGAACAAAGGGAACCCCCGTGGCTGGAGCCCAGTGAGTGAAAGGGGGGTCACGTGAGATGAGATGGGACACTGCGGGAGAGACTTCTTCCACGGCGTGATGTCTCTTGGCCTCTGGCTGGGCACGTGGCTGCGCAGAATAAAGATGACATTTTCCGCAGCATATAAGGAAGTAGGTAGAGCTTCCAAGAATCTTCCTTAGAACAGCAGGCATGTGCCCCTCGCCCTTTCCTTATTCTTCCAACTTTGCTGCTTGGAACACGCATATCGGCTGGTACCCTACCTGCTCTTGTAGGTCCCAGGGATGAAGTCAGGTCCTAGGCATCCGGGAACATGGCCTGGAAGGAGTTTGTGCCCCGAGGACTTCTTGAAGCTGAACCCCAGTGCCAGTTTTGGGTGGTCTTCCTCCAGACTTGTGTGTCAGAGAAGTAAACCTCCATCTTGTTTAAGCTTTTGGTTTTTGGGGTCTCTTGCTCATAACCAAACCTAATCCTGATACAGAGAGGCAGGATCCACATCGTCTAAGTTTTTATAGGTACTGGGAAGAGATTGGGTTTTATTCTCAATGCAATCGGAAGCCACTGGAGTTTTAAAGCAGGAGAGTAATGCGACCCCACTTGCATTTTATATGAGGGAGAATGAGCCATAGGCAGACAGGAGTGGAAGAGGTTACAAGGTTGTTAGAAATGGTACGACCTCTACGGAGAAGTTAGCAGTATCTTACCAAAATTATGTGTGATTCACTCCTTGACCACCAATCCCACGTCTAGGATTCTATCTGCAAATTCGCTGGCAAAATACAAAATGAGGCATTACAAGGCTATTCATTACAAGAGTGTTTGTAACAAACAGTAAGGTTAAAAACAGTGCAAACACCCATCAGAGGCCGATTGGTTGCATACGTTATGGGTCAGCCGCCCAGCGAGTTACTACCAGGCAACTATAGAGAGAGAGGTTTGAGGAGGTGGCTAACACTGCCCCAGAGTGAGGGCCAGGAGAAGCCATGTGAAAGGGCAGAATGGGGGCACGGAGTGCATGGCACTGCTCTCTTTTACGGAAGGAATGGGAGGATATGAGTACGTGTGTGTATTTATGCTTTTAAAGAAATATGGAAGGATAAACCCGAAATTAAAGTGGTTACTAATAGGGAAGAGACTGGGTCAGAGGGGACAGAAATGACAGTTAAGGTTTATCTGTATGTTCCTGGTTTATACGGTTTCAAACACAACTGTGTAAGTGTTTTATACAATTATGAAACAATTAGGTCAAAAAGAAAAAAAACCCCAAAGCATTCCTTAAAAATTGAAAACAAATGGACCTGGGTATATCATTCATGCTATAATCACACAAAGAATTATTTTTAGTATCTTTAAACACTACTGTTTTGACTGCGTCAGTGGGCTAGGAAAAGACGAGCAGCAAAGGAACCTTAAATCGCATTGTTATGTTTTTATTAATAAATTTGGCATTATTTTACCACTATTTATAAGATGAAGCATATGTAATTATAACAATATTAGGAATGAAAAATTTCAGTATAAAAGATATACAATTGTAAAATCAGATAAGCTTAAGTAAAAACTATTAAATTGGAAATATCAGAATGAACTCATTTTTTGAAATGCAGTTTTTAATTTTGATGAAGTCCAAGTTATCAATTTTTTTATTTCTTGTGTTTTGGTGTTACATCTAAGAAGTCATTGCTTCACCTGAATTACCGAAGATTTGCTCCTATGTTTTCTTCTAAAGATTTTATAATTTTAGCTCTTAAATTTAGGTAATCCGTTTTAATTCTTATGTATGGCATGGGTAAGCATCTAAATGTATTATTTTGCATATGGATATTCATTTCCAGCACCATTTATTGAAAGGACTATTATTTTCCCGTTGAATTGTCTGTCACCTCTCTTAAGAATCAGTTGGCCAGAGATGTTCATTTCCAGACTCAAAGTTGTATTTATGTTGGTCCTTATGTCAGTGCCACACTGTCTTGATTACTGTGGATGTGTAGTGTGTTTTGAAATCAGGAAGTATACATCTTCCAGCTTCATCCTTTTTTTCAAGATTGCTATGGCTATTCTGGGTCTTTTACATTTGTATAAGAATTTTAGGATCAGTTGGTCAATTTCTGTAAAAAAGTTAGCTGGGATTTTGATAGTGATTGTGTTGAATGTGTAGATCAGTTTGGGGAGTATTGCCATGATAATTAAATTAAATCTTCCAGTCTATGAGTATGGGGTATCCTTCTATTTAAATCTTTTCAAAATTTTCTTCAACAATGTTTTATAGTCTTCAGCATACAAATATTGTACTTTTTGGGGGGTTAAATTTATTCCTAATATTTTAGTCTTTTTTATGCTATTGAGAATGGAATTGTTTTCTTAATTTCATTTTCTGGGCTTTTGTTGCTAGTGCAAGAAATACAATTGATTTTGTATATCGCTCTTGTATCCTGTGACCTCACTTGTTTAATCTAATTTTCAATGAATTCCTTAAGGTTTTCTAAGTACAAGATTGGTGAATAAAGACAGTTTTACTTTTTAATTTCAATCTGGATGCTTTTTTCCCCCGTGCCAAATTGCCTTGGCTAGAATCTTCACTACAATGGCAGATAGAAGTGGTGAGAATGTTATGTCTTGTTCCTGATCTTAATGGGATGTGTGTTTCACCGTTAAATATGATGCTAGCTGTGTTTCATAGATGCCTTTTCCTAGGTTAAAGAAGTTCTGTCCCTAATTTGTTGAGGGTTTTTTAAATTATTATGAATGGAAGTTGGATCTTGTCAAATCATTTTTCTGCATCTATTGAGATGATTCATGATTTTTCCTTTACTTAAAACTACACATCACTTCTGGTTTCATTTCATATGTAAAGAGTTTGGAAGTTGCCACTCTAGTAGCAACAAGTAAAAAAAAAAAGCTGAACAGACGGAAAAATCAACAACTCTTCCTGGATCTGTAGGAGAGGGGAGGACACGGCAAACAAACTGCTGACCTCAAGACTGGAGAGACACACAGGCAGATACATGGAGTCGTGGCTTAACCTGAGCAGTGACTCATGAGCAAAAACCCTCATGGGAACCAGAGCCAGAGTAAGAAAACCTGAACTGTAACTGATGAATTGCTGGAGGTTCCGCGTAGACAAATCTGAGTTTAAAAATCCAGGGGACCCAGTTCAATCCTCAACTATGCTAATAGATTAACAAAATATTCTACTTTAGAGCAATGTCTTTCTTAGAATAGGTACATTTCACTCAATAATAGACTGGAGCATCTTTGGTGGAAAATAAAAAATACCCCTTGGGCTCCAACGAACATTACACTCTGACCAGTGCTGTCGTTCTGGGCCTCTACTCTTGAATCACTGCCATGCGAAATGCTCCCACTGGGGACCTCGCGGTTTATGGAGAGCCTCATCCCTAGAATATTGTGCCCATTATTATTCCTCGCCTTTTCTTCCAATACAGCAGAGTCTTGAAAAGTGTGATTTTACCCTGAAGACTGGCTGTAAATGCTGCAGTTTTTAGTCTTTTCCAATGTTGCTTATCAGACTACTCGAACCTGAATTCTGATAGCATACTTAGTTCCAGGCCGTGTTCCAGGTCGGCCTGCAGTGCAGTGTGGCAGACAGAGAAGCGGAGTGGGAGTTCGGGCGGCTGGTTCTAATGCTGGTTCCATCACTGACTAGGGAAGGGCCTCCTTGGTTTTCAGTCTTAGAGCAAAGAAATAAGTGGGTTTGGACCAGATGATTGGTAGAAGTCCTTCTGGCTCAAAATTGTGTGATTCTAAGTCCTATAACCAGAAAATAAGTTTAGTGGCTAGGTAATAAAATATTAAATATTGATACATTACCTATTTATAATTAATATAAATAAATATATTAATATACATATTAAATTATGCAGTAAACTTAATTTTTTTATATAGAAATATAAGAATTCTAATTCTAGCTGGCAATCCCTTTATTCCTTCAGGTTTGTGAAAGTATAACTTTACATAAAGGAAATATAAATGATATAGAAACAATCTAAACAGCAAAGATACAAGGATTAAAAAGCATTAACCAAGATTTTTACGGTAAGTACTATCTTTATTTAAAAAAGTTATACATGCTAGAAAAAAGCATAAATGATACACGTAAACAATTGTTTACCAAATACTTATTGTTTTCCTTGTAAAGGTGCAAATGATTTTTAAATGTAAACACAAAAGTTGTTGAACATTTTTGTCGTGGGAGAAAGGAGGAGAAAGTTATTCCTTTTGGTTGCAGATAAAGTCTCATTCAAAGATTTTCCTGCAAAATACATTGAAAACAATTAGTCTGTGAACACAATGACAAAAAAATTTCAACCCACTGACATTCTTATCATTTTTTCCTTAGAACTTTTAAACTTTTCTCCATTGAGAGTAGTAGTAACGGTGGCTTTACAGAAGGACAAGGAGGATATATAGTTGTATAAAAGAACCAAGATATTATTAATAAAATGCCTCAGCTGGTTTCACTCCCGTGAGTGCGCACTGTTACGTGAACTGAAGACTCTATCTCTTGGCGGCTGTGATCACAGGCAGCCTCAGCTCCAGCAGGCCTGAGCGTTTAGTGTGAATTGCATAACAGTCTCACTGCTGGTCCTTAGTAGCAATAAGAAAATAGGAAGGAAAGTTGCTCTAGTCAGTAATGTTTCTGAGTAAAAACTTGCAGAGTTGCACATGATTCTATTGGGGGACTCTCAAGACAGTGCGTGAGAATTGAGGACTGTTTGTGTAGAGGCACTGAGCAGAGCTCTAAGTCTAGCAGAAACGCTATGAAAACAGTATGGAAAAAAAAACTTGCCATATAGCAGAAAACAAGTTCATATGGAAGAGAACGAGAGGCAGAGTTCCACTGATGAAAGCTTTTCGAGTCCTGGTTTCATTGATTTAATATTCCTTTTGAATTGTACTTTTTAAAATGAGATGCTTCCTCTTTTTTAATTTGTTTTAAAGATTTTCAAGTCTTCTGGTGCTTAGTGTGAGAATGATGGCTAATGCACTTTGCACAGCTATCTGTCACTGGCGGTCCTTGGAGGGAGTGGAGTCGTGGGTGGAGTGCCTAGAAATAACATCTAGATCGTAGATAGCCCTTCTCCCCTTATTTGCATTTTCAAACTTAATATCTTAAAAATAAAGTTTTACTGCTTAGAATTTTTCTTGTTTTTTCTTTCCTTTTTTCCTTTTTGTTTTTTTTTGGTGGGAAGAAGGCTAGAAAAAAACGACAACAAAAAATCCCATGATAAATTAAAACCAAAAATAAATATTCTGCACAGAACAGAATTATTGTGCAAAGATGGCATCCTGCAGGAGAAGTACTTTCACTGTGTTTGTATTTCCATTTTGTTGAGGCACCGGCAAAGAATAAAATTTGTTCTAGTATTTTCTCCAGCTGTCCAAAGCTCCAGAGTCAAAGCTCTCCAGAATAGAGGAGTGCGTACACAGCTGTCTTCTAGGTGTTCACCATATGTGGGATTCACAGTGCGTCATTTTAATAACTCCTACACCACCCCCTAGCCGACGGTAATTCATCCCGCCATATAACCTGCAAACACAGAAACAAAATCATATTTTTAACTGGGAAAAGCACCATTTCTTCCATAACTAAGATGTTAATAAGACGTTTCCATGTTTTATATCACAACTAATATTTTTAGCTTTCATACATCTGGAATTGAGTGCTGGCAAGTAGCAGAATTATTTCAGACACTGACCGACATGCTGTCACTTCTGGGGGACTGTTTTATGAATAAGAGAGTGTCCTATCTACTTTTTGCATCATAACTGTACGACTTTACACCTAGACTGATTTCTAACAATTACACAGAATCATATATTCTACGTTTTTGTAGCTAATTTGACCCTGGCTATGTTATTTTCCCACCCACATTTTCCTTTTGCCTAAACTTCGACTATTTTTCCCCTTTTGTATGTGCTCTTATAAGCCTCCTCGAATGCTTTAGGAACAAAACTGGATATGAATAAATGAAGTCAGCATCTAGTTTGTGACGCGTGAACAAGATCATCTTCAAAATTAAGGATTTTCATGGAAAAGGATATTAGATCCTCTTCCAGCTGTGAGGTAAATTTTTTGTAAGTTGGGGATATGTAACTATGAAAATTTAGACATCTCTCAACAGATGATCCTTAAGAATTTCATGAATATTACTGGGTCACATATTACTAATTCTATTTAGTGATAGTTACTGAAAAACAAGTCCTCATGTAGGATCACAGTATTTGAGTGGCTGTCTTCTCACATTATGCTTACTCAAACGCCCACTAAAATAGAAAGGTATATATGGCAAAAAATAAGCTATAAAAGGGAAGCTCCTGTTCACGAATATCTGTCGACGATTCCCCCCTCACCTCTATTCAGTTTCGCTGAAATGCTACCTTTTCAGTGAGGCCTACTGGACTGCCTTTTAAAATGGACACTCTTGCCGGCCCCACACCGGGCATGGCACTGTCTCCCTTGCCATGATGCGACCGGGGCTTTTGTTCACTCGGTGAATCTTCGTGAACAAGGATGTGAAAATGCAGAAGCCGAAGGTGCCGCAGTGCCATCAGACCGACTTCAGCGCTGTGACCACTGAGCCACACACCCATGAGAGAGATGCGGAACCCAGAGAAAGTCACCTCTGTAAAAGCTGCGCCTTTCCCAGAGAGGAAGACTATAAAAAATTCAGTAAGTTCATTAGTTGAATCTTCTATATTGATGAAAAATCTGGGTGGGCAGGTATGGTCTCAGGTCTCAGAATTAGAAAGTGTTTCCTTAGGAAAGCAGGAATGGACTTTGAGACCGCTCCTTTGGAACAGGGACTGTAAAACGACCTCAGCTTATCTTTCAAGGTCATGAGAAATCTTTCTGAACATCTGGGACCTCGGATCTCATGTCCAGACTGATCCCTGTTGGTGTGTAGCCTCCACCCCTGTGGGGGTTTGAGGGGGCTGCCCCAGACTTGTTTAGGCAAATAAGCCCAATTTATTGAGAAAGAAACCCCAAATTGCTTAGCAGGTAAACTGTTTCCTTAGAAGGCTGGTATTTAGGATTAAGTATAGATATGAAGTACATCAAACAGTATTGATATTTTGTATGAAGTTTGAGAATTAACTATAATTTTGATGTTTTAGGTTCTTATAATGTTAAAGAGATTTTGGCAAGTATCAGATTAGTTTTGTGAATCAAGTATAAAATATATGACTGAGTACAGATTTAGAGCTATAATTTTAAGTTTAAAGCTTTAAGAGAATTTTGTTAAATTTATAAAAGTTTTTGAATACTTAAAATGCAAGAGTCCCCTGATTTATAAGGACTATTTAAGTACTTAGGAAGAATTGGTTAGACAATTAAGGATTTAAAAGCAAAGTGAAATTAAACCTATAAATATAGTTAAACATAATTAAACTTTCCTAAATAATATGTAGCCTCCTCCCAAAAGTGACTGTTAAAAGTTACTAGACTTTGGATACTAAACAAACTCATCGATACAGAGAACATTTTGATGGTTGCCAGATGGGAGAGGGTTGGGGGGCTGGGTGAAAAAGGGGAAGGGTTTAAGAAGTACAAATTGGTAGCTACAAAACAGTCATGAGGTGTAAAGTACAGCATAAGGGATATAGTCAATAATATCGTAACAACTATTCATGGTGTCACATGGGTACTGACTGCATTTATCCGGGAGATCACTTCGTAAGTTATATAAAAGTCTAATCACTATGTTGGACACCTGAAACTAATATAATATTGTTTGCTACCTGTAATTAAAAAATTTAAAAAAATTATTAAATTAGTTAAAAAGTTATCAGACTTTAAAATAGAGTAATAATATATTTAAGTAGATTTTAAAAGCTCAAGGGAAAAAATTGGTTTTAAAATGAAATATTATTTTTAAAAAGTAACTGCAATTTGTTTTTCTGGGCATAGAGCTGCTCACTAGAACCAAAAGCTCACACCGACAGCCTGGGAGCCGCAGACCTCGGTGCTAGTTCCACCTCTGCCACGAACTTGCTTAGGCCTCGGCTTCCTCAGCTGAACACGATGAGTCTAGACAGGGGATCTGTTGTTTTTGCCATCACTAATGATAAAACTGGATGGTTACCAGAGAGAAGGATGTTCTAAGCTGTCGGCCACTTTAGAGCAATGAAGTCAAATAAGCCATCGCATGTGTGTGACCCAGCGCTCTCTGAAGTACTGCGAGAGGTGATTCGGTGTGCTGCCCACCGGATCTGGGCGGCCACGGGCCAGCTCAAGCCCATGATTTTCCAGTCAGCAGCGAGGTGACTGCGACACAGCTGAAAGTTTACCTCCACGTATTGGCGTCGGGATCGAAAACTTCAATGGTCTTCAAGTAGGTCGTGCCGTCAAAGCCCCCCACAGCCATGAGCTGCCCGTTCACCACTGCCAAGCCCACCTGCGGGAGTGAACACAGCGCCGCTGAAGAGACTGCCAGTCGCCAGGGGATCTACACTGGTTTCTGGGTAAATCTTTATGGCCTTACAGTCTGGTTATTTGTCTGGTTTACTTGATTACTTAATAGACTTTTGTCTGTGTTACAGAGGAAAACGGTAATGACGAAAATCTATAAATTATAGGAACTATAATATTATATAATTAGAATGTTTACACAGAGTTGAAAGCAGGTATTTCTTGAATTTTAGGAAAAGCAATCACTGGGCGTGAACAAGAATCTCCAAACTCCTTTTACTCCTTTTGGTATTTGCCTTTTCTAAGTCACTATTTAAATTACCACTGAAACTCTCTTTTTAAAATACAGATCTATCCACGTGGTCACGTTCCCCTGAAAACCTTCTAAGCCTCCCTACCACCTGAAGAGAAGTTAAAGTCCTTCTGCCATTGAGGCCCTCCGCAAGTCCACACTAGCCCGTTTTCGCCTCGCCGCCCAATGCACCCTGTGCCAAAGAAATACGAGATGAACTGCCAGTCCCAGAAAACAGACGTGTTGCCTATGTCCACACTTTTGCGCATGTTGTCCCCTGGCTGGTGTTCTCTTTCTTTGTCCTAGAAAACCTCATTCTTCTCTCATGGCCTCACTTCCATGCGACTTTCTCTGGTCAGTCTCTTCTCTGCCCCCGGGGCGTTAAGCACATTCTCCCAGGTTCTCTCCTTTAATGCACGGGCCACTTCTATAGGATTTGCTTTTAATAATGAGCTGTAAACATTTAGTTTCCTTTCACTAAGTTGGGAAGTCCTTGAGAGGAATCACGTCATACCCGTTCTTGCTTTCCAGGTACACGGTAAGCACTTCATCTTTGCTAACGAGTGAAAAGAGAATTAACAGAACGTAGCAGCAAAAACAACAGGGATGTGACTAAGCGGCTGTTGGTTCCAGTAACAAAGAGCCAGGACGGGTACGTGAATGGTGTTCCCTGATCTGCGACCAGAATCCATCCCGTCATCCTCAGATCATGGAGTCTTAGCCACTGCTGGGTTCCCCGACCTGCAGTCCTCCACTGATGGATTCCTGGTAGGATCAGTGGTTTAGGGGTTACATTTCACACTGAGCCCAATGCCCTAGGACGGACATTGGAAGTCTCTCGTAGTCACAGGTCATCCATGGTCTAGAACATGACATAGGTCAGCCTGATCTGCCTGTACGACATGCAGGATAGGCTCAAACCAGTCTGCGGAGACTGGCGGGGGGCAGCTGTGTTTCTGCCTACGCGTTTCTACTGACATTGCCGACTCCTGGAATGTTACCTAGAAACATTAGGTAGGAATAGTTGGCTCTTACAGATATGGATGCGTAGGGGTGACGTTAGATCGGGTAGTTAATAAGACAGGGAGAGGCCTTTCAGAGACGCAACTGCTACTAGATAAATCATAAATAATTCTCTAATTAAAGATATGATCGGCTATATTTACATGAGATAATAGCGACCAGAAGAAATTAATTTTTCCCTAGTACAAAAGTTGCAGGGGTCTTCTGCATGAACGGCGCGCCCCCTCCCTGCCCCAGGGTGCTGTTGGTCCCCTCCAAGTCCCCAGTAGCTGGGCACTTACTCCACTACGGCGGGATGTCATAGCCACCACCGGGGACCACTGGTTGGCTCTGGGGTTGAATCTCTCTGCGCTGCTGAGCTCCGTGGTGTCATCTCTGCCCCCCACGGCATAGATCATGTCCTGATACACGGCGCAGCCGAGGTGCTTCCTCCGCGTCCCCATGGGGGCTGTGGTGTGCCACCTGTTTTCCTGAGGGTTGTAGCGCTCCACTGCAGGGAGAAGGAAAGCCCGGGAGTGACCACTCGGCCTTGTCCCCGCAGCTCTTCTTCGTGGTCACTATAACTGTGATGACGCATTTTTAATATGTAATTTTTGCTTCCAAGGAGGATTCGGACGCCCATAGACGATATCACTATACTCTCATCAGGGACAGTTTTCTCATAGGCCTGGTGTGGTGGGGAGGGATGTTGAAGTCGGGTGTTCTAGTTCTGACCACACGACCCACTAGCCAGGTGACTCGTGGCCTCACCCTCCTTATCTACATGAGGGGATCAGGCTACACAGTCTGTAAGCATTGCTTCGTACTACTTTCCTGCAGAACCAGACAACTCCTGCACTCCTGTATGCCCCTGCTTATATTCCTACTGCAGCATCTAAGCCACTGAGGGGATGTCTGACAACGACTCTGGTGTGTGAGGACCACTCTGACAAAATCCTTAGGCAGAAATGTCCATTAGCTTTAAGTAGAAAGAACTAACACGTAATCCAGTTTATAGCTAGACATTTTTGTTTATTCCTAGATTATAATATAGAGGGTTTTTTTTTTTTCCTAAGAAGAGATGGGGGGAATAACCATATTAAGAAATTAATTCTTGTATTCATTACAGATTCCCAGCAGCTTGTAAAGCAGAGGGAGGAAGAATTATTTGGGGAATATACTAGAAGACTGGCTGCACAGGGGCTAAGGAAGAGCTAAGAGCTGCAGTCTCCTAGAAGGAAAATAATTAATAACCTGCCGCCCTGGGGGACGCGGACTGCCTTGGGAACGGCCCACCTGTGTTGAGTGGCGACGTCCCGTCGGAGCCGCCCACGGCGTATAAGAAGCCTCCTAACACAGCCACGGCCACGCCGAGCCTTCGGGTGCTCATGGAAGCCACGCGAGTCCACTTGTTCTCCTTTGGGTCATACCTGCAGGGAGAGAAACCGAAGATTGCACGCGTTTTTAGTAAGTGAAGCCTTTTTCGTGACGTGTGAGGTCATGCTGGTATGTCGGTGACACTGGCTTGCTGTGGTCAAATGCAGTCAGAATCTAACATGATTTACTCAGTCATAGGGAAAAACCCTCAGGCTCGGTGCCTGTGTCAGTCATAAGCTGTTCCGCACGCTGACTTCTGCTGCTGGGCCCGCGCACTGAGAACTGCGCTCGCTCGTCCTTTGCGGGGAAGGGCTGGACGCTGGCCGACCAGGGGAGGGAAGGGGCCCCCTCCTTTCTGCTCACTTGCCGACCCCATCAGCGTGGTCTTGGCAATGGCCTTCACTGTGTACCATTTTGTCCGTTTTTAGCTTTTTTCTACCGCTGTGACTTAAAATGACAATCACCGTATTAAGGTCGGGAATCTGAGAAAGGCTCCACGGGGAGTGAGGGTGCTGGGGGCTCTGGCCCGGCGTCAGACTGAGGCTGGGGCGGCAATGGCTGAGCCGGAGCGGCTGGGGCTGGCCCGGCACCTCTCCAGCTGGTGGTCTCCCCACGTGGGCGAGCCTGGGTTTCCTGTCAGCCTGGCGACCTCAGATGGCTTAGGGCGTCGAAGGTGACTGCCCAAGAGAGCCAAGGGGAAGCTGTGCCACCTTTCATGACCCAGCCTCAGAAGCCGCATACTGCTTCTCTTGCCACTCGTAAGCCAGCCCAGATCCAAGGGGGGAAAACGCAGACCCACCTCTCAGTAAGAACAGTGTCAAACTGTGAAGGGCAGGAGAGGAGGCAGGTATTGCTGTAGTAACTGGGAAACGGTCTTTCTCAGCCAGCCAGGCAGATCACCCTCCACGGGGCGGAGGTCTCGGCTGTCCGGGGCACAACCTCCTCCAGTGCCACTGGTCCTGGCGACCTGGGGTCTCGCCTCCGGGCTTCTGGGCCCTCACGACTCCCACTTCTTTCCTGTTCTCCCAGCCCTGACGTTCCTACTGCTACTTCACTGTCCTCATTTTTTTTAGCCCTTCGATATCTGGCCAATTTTTTTTTTTCCTAGGTGAGGCAACCTTGGTTGACCTCACAAATTGCAAGGACCTTGTCAGCTTACAATCTCTTATTTTTTAATTTTTTATGCCTATAGCACCTGGTCTTCCTGGTCTCCCATCCAAGTAATAACCAGGCCCGACCCGGCTCAGCTTCCAAGATTAGACGGGATCGGGCTTGTTCAGGGTAGCATGGCCGTACACTCTAGCCAATTTTTAAATAGTAAATTCTCTCTATTAAAATAACTGATATGGTTTCTGTTTTCTTTATTGGGGCCTGATGGATAATTACTACCACTAAGAAAGAAATATGACACATCATTTGGAATATGTGCTAATCATTTTACTTCATTATATAGGTGGAAAATTGTTAGTGTATTAAGTATGTAGGACAAACTATATCAATATTACAAGAAATATAAATACTTAAAATAGCCCTGATTCTTAATAAGTGGAAGAGACAGAGCACATTCTTCTTTTTAAATCTTTATCTTTTAAAAAATTTAGCTAAAATTGGTATGTAAAATTTTGCTTCAAGTGTACAGCATCATAATTCAACATCTGTATACATCACAAAGTAATCGCCACCAGCAGGCTAGTCACCAGTCATCATTACACAGTTGACCCTTCACCCATTTTGCCCACCCGCTATGCCCGTCCCCTCTGGTGACCATGGATCTGTTCTCTATGAGTTTTGTGTTGCTTGTTTCTTTTTTTTAGATTCCACATATCAGTGACATTATATGGTATTTGTCTTTCTCTGTTTGACTTATTTCAATTAGCATAATACCTTTAAGGTCCAGCCATGTTGTTGTCAATGGCAAGATTTCCTTTTTTTATGGCTGAGTAGTATTCCAGTGTGCGTATGTGTGTGTGGGTGCACGTGTGCCACATCGTCTTTATCCATTCATCCACTGAGGGACGCAGGTTGTTTCCATGTCTTGGCTATTGTAAATAATGCTGCAATGAACAGGGATGCATATATCGTTTCGAATTAGTGTTTTTGTTTTCTTTGGATAAATAAGATGCATATATCGTTTCGAATTAGCGTTTTTGTTTTCTTTGGATAAATACCCAGAAGAGGAATTGCTGGATAATATGGTAATTCTATTAATTTTTTGAGGAATCTCCATCCTGTTTTCCATAGTGGCTGCACCAATTTACATTCTCATCAACAGTGCACGAGGGTTCCCTTTTCTCTACATCCACGCCCACTCTTGTTTGTTGATTTACTGATGATGGCCATTCTGACAGGTCACTCGTTTGATTTACTGATGATGGCCATTCTGACAGGTGTGAGGTGGTATCTCACTGTGGTTTTGATTTGCATTTCCCTAGTAATCAGTGATGTTGAACATCTTTCCACTCTATGTCTTCGAAAAGATGTCTATTTGGATCCTCGGCCCATTTTTAAATCGGTTATTTTGTTGTTGTTGAGTTGTATGAGTTCTCAGTATATTCTGGATATTAATCCCGTGTCGAATGTATGATTTGCAAATATCTTCTCCCATTCAGTAAGCTGCCTTTTCACTGTGATGGTTTCTTTTGCTGTGCAAAAGCTTTTTAGTTTGATGTCGTCCCATTTGTTTATTTTTGCTTTTGTTTCCCTTGCGTTTGGAGTCAAATCCACAAGAATACAGTTCTAATTCCGACTTACGTAGCGTTTTCATATCTTGCATCATTTTCCATGTTTGGAGTCAAATCCACAAAAATACATTTCTAATTCCTACTTACGTAGCGTTTTCATATCTTGCATCATTTTCCTGATATCTTTTTAGCACATGTTAAAACGGTTTACAGTTTTGATCTGTTCTATAGGTGTGTCTTTCTGTGGTGCTTCTATTGCCTACAGAGATGTTGTTATTCTGCTGCTTATCTTCTCTCTGACATTAACTTTATATGGGATCCAACCTCAATACTTTGCTGTTGCTGATTTTTAGATGAAATACGTTTTCCTTAACTTATAGGTGTGGTTTGTGATGATTTTTTAACTTCATGAAGCACCCTCTTGTTTTTTTCATGTAACATTTAAAAAATATAGCGGTTGCCTCCTGAGATATACTGGCTTTATTCACTGCTCCTACTTTTATCTTGGCCTTCTCTGTCCATTCTATCTGTTGTCCTTATCCTGCTCAATTTTGATTCTGCCCCCAGAAATGCAGGCTCTGTCCTGGAAGGTCATTCTGCCTGGTTCTCAACTGGGGTGATTCTGCCCCCACCCCGGACATCTGGCAACATCTGGGGATGTTTTCGTTGTCACAAGCAGGCGTGTGCTACAGGCACTAGTGGTGGGGGCCACGGCGCGGTTCACAGTGCACGGCAGTGCTCCCACAACAGTTGTCCGGCCAGAAACGCCAGAGTGCTGGGCTGAGAAACCCTCTGAGGCCCTCGGCGCGCACCGCAGGTCCCTGCACCTACTCCGCATGGGGAATGAGCAGAACCCTTCGTAGTTTCGGCGGTTCATACATTTCCCCTCGTGCTTCCTGGTAAATGTGTACGGCTGTCTGGGGGTTGCTCTGTTCCTGGATCTGTCGGACGTCCGATTGCTTCTGTTTTTCTCCTGCACAATGATATCGTGCAGGTCTTGTGGCCATGGGTGGTTTGTCTTTGCCTATTTGTGTTTTGGGGGTCATGGGGATACCTTTTCCCTTAGTTTATTTTAAATATCCAGAAGATTTTTTAAAAGCTGTGGTAGAGCGTACATAAAACCCACCATTGTTAAGTGCGCGCTCGGTCGTGCTGAGAACTCTCCCGCTCCCAGGCTTCGGCTCTGCCCTCTGCTGGTGTCTGTGCGCGGAGGGACTTTGGAGGGATCAAAATTATGCTGTCGCTAACGATTATCTTCCCAGAATCCTCCTGCATAGAGCTTTGAAACTGGAGAAGTAAGTTTCTTACCAGAAAGATGGAAGGGGATGGCCGTACTTTTCAAGGGTTCCCTGCAGCTTTATCTCTAAGACAAAGTTAAACTCTTCAGCTTGAACATGGTAACCCAACTAGTTAATGCTGTTGCAAAAATTCTGATGAGTCACAAGCATTTCATTTTAAGAAGTGAGGATGAAATATGGTATGTTCTTGCCAGCAATCACAGTACGTGACACTCCAAAATCTAATCTAGTATAGAATGACAAAAATCTGATGTGGCAAGCAATTAAGAACAGAATGTATTTCACCAAAATGAACTGACCTGTAAAAGTATAACATAAACTTTAGCAGGAATTAATGAGAATCCACATACAAAATATCCGGCGTCTTTATAAGATGTGCTAGAAAAAGAACTAGTACTTTAGCCATTTTTCTGGAAGTCTGGGCAAAATCATGCATTAAGTGTTCTCCCAGTACTGGGGAAAAATCAGAACAGATTTCAGAAGTGGCGGGCTTGATATCATATACAGAATGTAACTCACAACACGATTCCAACTCTCCAGCGTTAGGCTAGATGGGTGTTAATGCGCAGTTTAAACAATCGGGTAACATCTTTCAGCTTCTCAGGCTTTAAGCTCAACTGAGAACGTTTTCCATAAAGCCCATGGGAAATCCACTACGTCGTGGGTCCCCTGGAGTCCTAAACTGTTTCTTTTAAAGAGCCCTCTAGATTTTTTAAAAAATTGAAAATGACTTGAAAAAAATCACCTCTCAACAATGTTGAGGCAAGACACGCCGTCCTGGCCCCCCACGGCGTAGAGAAAGCCCCCGAGCACCGCCACACCCACGCTTGTCCTGCAGGTGCTTGTGGGGGCCACGTCACCGCTCCACTGGTTTGTTTTGGGGTCATACCTGCAGAGAACGTCAAGAGCAAAGTAGTAAAGTCTGGCTATGTTTATATATTCACTGACATATATACATATTCTTTCTCCTAAACATGATTAATAATTAAAGCATATGAAAGTCTAATTTATTTTTAAAATTCATTTTTACTTAAACAAGTTATATATGATATATTTTCTTTGGAAAAACTTTCCAGAATGTTATAGATAAAGCTAAAGCTCCTTTGGAGTTCCACCTGATTCCCGGTCTCTTCCCATTTGATTTGGCGTATCCTTCAAGGCTTATCAGTAAAATACTTTTAAATAGGTATATGCCTATTCACATGTATATTCTTTATGTGCAGCATGTTTTCCTTACATAAAGAATGGCACACAGTGGGCATCGCTTTCCAGGGAAGAAAGAAGAGCATGCGTACCTGCAGTGACAGCGGCATGAGAGAGGAGCGTGTCTAAGCACAGTGAGCAGTTTGGGGGGTCTGCAGTAGCATGGCTGGGGAACAGTGGTGTGCCCGGGGAGACAGACTGGACAAATAGGTGGCGGTCAGATCATAAGGGACTTGCATGTCGCGCTAAGTGTCTAGGCTGCCACAGACGCAATACTAAAGCAGGAAGTCGCATCTGTTTCCTAATTAACCTCCCGAATGACACTATCTGAACAGCAGAGAAAAAATTTCCAATTTCCAGTTGCCCTTACTTACCTTTCGACACTGTTGAGATAAGAGGATCCATCATGGCCTCCTACCGCATAGAGTAGGTCATCAAGGACACTGACCCCAACTCCACATCGCCTCTTGCTCATTGACGCTACCATTCGCCATTCATTGGTCTGTGGGTCATATCGTTCAACACTGGAAATGGCGTCTCCACTGCACCAGCCACCGACTAGGGAAGTCATGGAAAAGGTGAGGACAAGACTTGTCCTAAAGCAGACTCCCTCACCGCTATCTTGTAAACTGTGACCTGGATTTACAAAACGTGTTGACTTCTGCTTATTTCACTGGGACTGCCATAATAGTTAATTTTCTGAGTAAGTTGGTAATAGGTCCACTTTACAGAGGAAGGCAAGGGGACCGACCGAAATCAGACTGAGAGGTAGTGTGGCATTTAATGGACAGATGCTGAATTTAGTTAGAAAACTGGGGCTTGACTGTTGTCTCTGCTAAGCTAAGTGATCCTGGCAAAATCCTGTTAACTACCTCATTTGTAAAATAAGGAGTAAAAATTTTAAAGTGAGATAATAGATATGAAACTGCTTTCTAAAGCATAAAATGCTATGTAAATATAATGTATAATTACGAGCCCCCTAAAAAAGAGCCATAACTCAAAAGCCTGTTTTGTTTGTTTGTTTGTTTGTTTTTACTCTATAAGGGGAGAAGCAAGATTTTGGCTCTACTCATGATCTTGTAATAGGTCCTCATGTGACTAAAAAAATAATACAAAAAGTCTTATGATTTATATTACAAAATATTTTGCTTTCTGTTTAATCTGTAGTATGTACTGAATTCTAATTTATCCAACATGACAAGATCAGAAACATTTGTAAGAAATTACATTTTTCATTAGTAATACACGGAGTAACAGGTTCAAGCTGAGTTCCACAGAGCCTCCCCGGCTTCTCCCAGGAAAGAAGTGTGGCTACAGCAGACACATTGGATTTGTCATTCTTTCAGACTATCCCTATTTCAACCCAAAATAAGAGCTAGATTCTAGAGCTTAAAACGTGAAGTCTAAGGATGGCTTAACTTCAAAATATCTGAAAACAAATGGTTTCCAGGGCATCTCAATAACTCCATGAGCCAGGCTAAAATAGAAATAGTGTCTGTAACTTCTTCTAGATGGACTTGGAAATTCATTTCTTTATTTCAAATCTTAATGTGCTGAACACATTTTATTTTATTATGGTTTCATTTAAATCAGGGTATGCAACTAATACTAAATTGCAGTAAGTTTTGTGTATATTAATTTGTTTAAATTTGAATTCTGTTCTAGAATATAAGCCAGGAATTTCAACAGCAAAGAAAACATCTTAAATTCTAAAATGAACTTTGGCTGCAAATGTGAGGGTTATGAGCACTGAAGACAAATCAAATAGCCTAAACCCTCAGGTACAATTTTATAATGGAAACCATTACGATGAGCTTTTTATTGGATTACATGGTTACAAATCAAAGTAATAGCACTTTATAAACTGTGTCCTTTGATACTAAAGAAAAACCAATGTACCTAAGGAAAAATACTGCTGAAAAGAGACATATAGTTTTATATGTGTAAGAGGTAGACTCTAAAAAGAATTACTTCAAAGACAGATTTGGTCAAAAAAATGTTACTTTAAAGAAGGCGACTTTCACATAATCTCTAGAACAAGGATTACTGAACTGCAAACACTAAAAAACCCCAACAAAACAGAAGCACGAAATCGACAAGCATCAAGAAGCCCAGTGGAAACGAGGCCGAGCCCGAGGACGCTGATAGGAGGGAAGCTCCCGAGTCAAAACCCCCAAGACCACAGATTTGATCTCAGGCTTCCACGGGGTGATGAAGAAAGGAAGACTCGATTTTCCAAGTTAAGCGAGAACTGGTGCCTTGGCATTCCAAAGATAACGAAGACAAAATTGCTAAAAAACCAAGGCAAATCGAAGATTTAGTTTAAGTAGAGGCAGATGGGCCAGGACCTAAAACACTGTCGGTGAGCTGTATCGCTCCAGAGCGGAGCTCAGCTCTGCGGACCGTGGAAGACTGAGAAACTGAGAAGGCAGGGACATGGCACCGGCCGTCACGGAGAAGCCCCCGTGTCCCTTCTCTGCAAAGGGAGGTGAAAACCTTAACAGTGTAAAGAAGGTGGCAGATGATTTAACATTTTTTCTTTATATTTTTCTATGAATCAAAATTTCTATGGTGTATGTGTATTCAACTCTATGAGAATGAAAGCGTTACTCAAGAATAGGTCATCTTCCACGTACGAAGTGACAGGAGTGGTCCATGACTGCTATCGGCATGTGCTTTCTGATTTTCCTTTAATCATGATGGGTGGATGACAGTTTCTCACTAGCTGTCCTCAGGATCAGACAAGAGGAGCAAAATGCACGGCAGGGTGGCTCGGGCTCAATCTAACTCAGCAGAGCTAGAAAAGAGTGTAATGGTTTAACTTAAGATTTTGCTTTTTGACAGTGCCATGTCAGTCTGAGGCAACTTGCACAGGGGAATGTAAATGAGTGCATGTGACTCATTTGAACAAAGCATCCACTGCCTAAGGATTTTAGATTTAGATAAAAATAGAGCACTCTTTTGGAGAAGACCAGTGTTGGATCGTGACTCAAGAGTCGAGTCATGTTATGTGATAACTCGTTATGTAGCTCTTATGACCGTGGGTGTCACAATGGTCCAAAGAACCACTCAAACGACAGTCTGTTACTTGCGAAAGTACTCAGCTCTGTCCCAGCGTGTTAAGATCCGAACCTGCAAAGAGTACTTCTCCACACCGGATAGGTTTCCGCGGTCTCGTCCTTGGCCCCTGCATCAGTGGTCGCTCTTGAGGCAACAGGAGATAGTTTTTAGCCTCATCTACCAGGTCTCTGTGAAGAAAATTCAGCCTTTATTCTACATGTCTAAGTAACATTGTTAGTCAAATCCCAATATGGTTTAGGAATATGTAAGTTGGCAAAGGGGAACAAGCGTGAATCAAACCGAATCATGAACGCTAAACAAGCAATATTAAAAGGGTCACGAACCGGAGCGCGATGATGCCAGTCACACTGGGAGCTGTGAGTTGATCGGTATTTCCATTATGACTTCATATCTTTGTGCAAATTTAGCCTAAAACTCAACATGCTTGGGGCCAACAAAAACTTATGGGAAACTAAAAATTACAATTCAATTACCAGCCTATAAGCGTACTGCTTTTTAATTAATTTTATTAGATTCTGCAGGACACTGGCAAAGTAGCATATCGGCCATGGTACTAGATTATTTGCTAGATTAATTAATCAAGCTAGGTCAAAAATTGGATAGTTAAAAAGAAACACTGTACCATCATTTAATATTGATTTGCTATCTGGCACTGTCTGAATTGTTTACTTTCAACAACTCTACTGAGAATGAACAGAAATTTTTCTATCAAGGCATTTTATGAGAAGAACCTAGTAATTATCCTTACTAAATATAATACCCTAATGCAAACTACTTATGTTTGTACTTATTTCACTTGAGTCCTTTTTCTTAGGCTGTGCCTGATTAGTTCAATGTTACTCTTGTTCTCTCTCAATTCTAAAGGTATTTCCGAAATACACTGTATTTTCATTTTTCTAGTTACTTTATGTTACAAAGAGTAATTGATTTCTGCTGGACCAGTCCCCAGGCACGACCTAATAATGTACTTCCAATATATGGCTTTGTTAAGGCCCTTTCTGAGTTTATCTTAAAAACAAAAGCAAAAAAAAACAAAAACAAAAAAAACCCCTAAAATAAAAAAAAAAAACAACTCCAAACTGATGATCAAAAAAAAAAAACCCCAAACTGATGATCGAGAGTTTTTTCTAGCTGTCCCAACTTAGAAATAAAGACTATGATCTCCTAATAGTTGGTTTTTTAACTAAGCTGTTCAGGGCTTCCCAGAAAGAGAACTATAGAGCTAATATTTAGCAAACCACCACAGAATAGAAATGACAACAATAACATAGCTATGTGCCAGCACCTGTTTTAAGGGACTAGCTCATTAATCCCCACCGCAGCCCTATGGAAAGCGTGCACTTCATAGATGAAACTGTAGAAAGGGGTTAAAGTAACTTGCCTAAGGCCACAGAGCTAGTGAAAGGTGCGGTCAGGATGCCAGGATGGGGCTTCTTGTCAAAGTGACTCTGTAAGTACCTTGACTACTTCCTGCAGCAGAATCAGTACAATCTGACTTGTTATGATCGTTTTTCTAGCTGTCCCAACTTAAAAATAAAGACTATGATCTCCTAATAGTTGGTTTTTAACTAAGTTGTTCAGGGCTTCCTAGAAAGAGAACTATAGAGCTAATATTTAGCAAACCGCCACAGAATAGAAATGACAACAATAACATAGCTATGTGCCAGCACCTGTTTTAAGGGACTAGCTCATTAATCCCCACCGCAGCCCTATGGAAAGCGTGCACTTCATAGATGAAACTGTAGAAAGGGGTTAAAGTAACTTGCCTAAGGCCACAGAGCTAGTGAAAGGTGCGGTCAGGATGCCAGGATGGGGCTTCTTGTCAAAGTGACTCTGTAAGTACCTTGACTACTTCCTGCAGCAGAATCAGTACAATCTGACTTGTTTTATGCGGGAGGGGCACCGCTGTATTGTTTCTTCAGATTTCAGCATCCATTATTCCTACGGGTTTCCTTCTGCTATTGTATATATATATATTTTTGGGGGGGGGGACTGCCATTTGTCTGTTTTTTAAATTTAAAAGATAAACATATAAAGCCCTCTCTAACATCTTCAGATTTTAGAAGAAATGCAAATGAATATGTCCTTCCTCAGTTCTAGAGAGTCTTGATATTAGAACAAGTTTCTTTGGTCACTAGGGGACGCAAGTCAGTGTAGTTTCAGGAGTTCTGAATACTGACTTGTTCTTTCATTTCTGTGTATGGAACATGCTGGGAAAAAGTTAAAAACACCATATGGTTTCAGATTTCAACCTAAATCCTAAAATCTGTCAAACTGGGAAAAGTAATTTGTCAAATTTTACAGAGACAGCCCAATAAAGTAGGTGTTTTGTTTGTCTGTTTGCTTTTAAAAGCATTCAGCATTTCTTTCAATCAAGAAACATGATGACACTGAATTCTAGTGGCGATCTTTCCACAGCCACTGTAGGAGTGTGGCAGACCGTTAACCCCGTCCACAGTCTCAGAAAGCAGGGCCAATCCCATTCCCTAACTAGGCATTTGTGACGGAATGAAAAAGTAATTTGACACACTTTTTGGCAGTCAATAGCATTATTAATCTCAAGAAAAAAATATATTAGCAGAGAACTGCCTCTTTAAATCCAAGCTTCCATTAAAATCTTAGACATCTACCTCTTTATTGCCACGTCTACACCAATAAGCACCACACATAAAAATCTAACGGAATGGAATACTGGGAGTTCAGTCTGTCTTCTTCCATCTCCTCCTCTTGACCCCGGCCCAGAAGAAAACCCTGTAAAATACTGCCTGGTTTCAGCACTAAGAAACAATATTTAGGAAGCAATACAAATAAGGAAATTAGGAGAAAACAGGAATGCTTGTTTGCTGATTTTTCCCACCTGGGGCCATTCGTACCTGCATTCTTCGTCACTTTTGATGAGGGGATCAGAGCCTACGGTGCCCACCAGGAACTTTGGACTAAGCAGAGGCAGACGGACGTGCTGCAGCACCTGTGGGATAACGAACGCTATCACAGGCACGAGCGCCCACCTGCAAGGTGTCTCAGAGAACACATAACCCACACTCCCCCACGGCACTCCAGTCGTTTTCAGATCTAACTGAATTAATTCACTAATTGATCTAATTAATAAATAATGAAGAGGGAGGGAAAGCATAAATACTACACTTATTCTAATAAATTCAATAATTAGAATCATCAGAAAATTGAAAGCACACTAGTAACACTTTAGAATGCTACTTTAACCTTTCAGCAATATGGTATAAGCTCTTCTACAATAGCTTATCAAATTGGCCTCTAACAATCTAGAAGAATATCCTATTAACTTGCTAAAGATTACAGTCATAACAAGAACGTAGAACATTTTAGTGACCACTTAGGCCCCAAATTATTTCTTTATTCTTCAATATGTCATGAGATTTCTTTATTCTTCAATATGTCATGGGATTTCCAAGCCATAGTGAAGAGCACGACAATCGCGATCTTTTTTGCCTTCTTTTGCTCATTTTTGTACCATTTGGGTTTTGACTTGTGCTGTAGCCCAAACCTAGAGTTGATGCAAAATAAAGAGGAAGCAAAGGAGCAGCAAGTTCATAATGGTAAACAGTTTAAAATGCTCCTAAACACTTATCTCCTTGATTATTTGGAAACAGGTGGCTTTTCTTACAGTCTGATATAAGGGACAGTGATAACCATTTCTTTTTTGCAAGTCAGATGCATGTTATTTTGTCCAGTACTTAGAGAAGCATTTCCGTCATACCTGTGGTAACTGAGGACGTCTTTCCTGGATGCTGTATTTGACCCAGGCCATCACTGCATTGAACACCTGTTCTTCACTGCGGACGTTTAGCTCGTCACTAGATATTATATCGATGAGCTGATTGGCTGGAAGCAACATGAACTCTTCACTTTCCATCACCTGTTCACAGGTAAGAATAAAAGAAAACCTTGTGATCGTATTTAATTTATTGTCTCAATATTTTTCTCAAGGATGATGAAAGCAAAGCTTTATTCTCCAATGGAGCTGAAGTTCAAAATAGTACCAGAGGAGAAGAAAAGTTTAAAAAGAGAACAAAGATGGCAGACCTATTTTTAGGACGATGAAACTATTATGTTCAATACTACAATGGGGGGTATATGCCATTATATGTTTGTCAAAAGCCTCAAAATGTACATCGAGAGAGAGAGCCCTAATGTAAATTATGGACTATGGTGATACTAGCACAGTGATACGAGTCAGTGTAGGCTCATCAGGGTACCCCTCTGGTGTGGGGTGCTGATAGTGGGGGAGGGTGTGTGTGTGTGTGTAGGCGGGGGTACAAGAAATTGTACTTTCCGCTCAGTTTTGCTGTGAACCTAAAACTGCTCTAATAAGGTTTATTTAATTTTAAAAAAGGAAACAAAGGAGAGTACAGAGGACACAATTAAAATTTAGGAAAAATAATTTGATTCAAATAATTTAAGATGAATGACATCTTTTTCATAAAATGAAGTATCAAAATAAACATTTGTATTCAAAATAAACTAACTATATGAAATTATAACTCCAGAAATATAAGAGGCATATAAAAAAAATCAAGAGAAGCCTTAAGAGGAAGATTAGTTGCTGAAAGGTATGTGTCTAGGGCAGAAACACCAAGGGGCCAGTTTAAAAAAATGAGGGTATCAGCGATTTTATAAGCAAGAATAAGAGCCAGACCCATGAAAACCTCTAAGGACCAAACCACTTTGATATCTGCCTGTCCGTCTGTCCGTCCGTCCGTCCATCCATCCATCCATCCGTGAAGAACTACAGACACGCCAAGGACCTACCTTTACCCAAGGCTAGGGAACTGTCAGAGAGGAAATGCCAACAAGCCCCTTGTGCGGTCCAGCCACAAATCCCAAGGTCTTGTAAATCTTGCCATTGCATGTAGAGTAAAAGGGACAGGGAGCAAGGCAGAGGGAAAGGGTCACGGCTACACTCCATACCGTCTGTTCTCTCATGCAGAAGACTGTGCTACATGGGACCTCCGTGAGTGCAGGACGGACAAGGTAAAGAGTGCAGATTCCTCCTGTGTGACCTCTAATGCCAGCTGCTTGTTGTTTATTTCCCACATGGCGCAAGGCACACGGTTCTGAGGTGTCAGGAAGGCTTGCCTATGGCCTGGATAGTAAAGAGTGAGGCTCTCAACTTCCTTTTTGGTGTTTGGCTGTTTCGATAGAAAAGAACCGAACTGCTGCTTGCCACGGCCTGCCTAGTCTCGGGGTGGGGTGAGGAGGAAGGGAGAAGGCAGGACTCAAAGGAGCCCAGTTCCTCTGGAAGCGTGGTGTCTAGCGGTGGCCACTGAGGATGGGGGCCCTGGCGTTGGCCTTGCTGGGCTGGCCACCGGGCTGCTTCCTCGGGGCGTCCCGAGCCAGGTCACAGGTGAGCGTGCTTCTGGAGGCCCGGGGAGAGTGTGAGTGCTCTGGGGACTCCAACGCTGTGTGGAGTTGCCCAAAAAGAAGCCTGCCCACCAGTGACTGGGGCAGCCCCGGGGACCCGCGTGGTGTGGGACGGCTTCCCTGGGGCGCTTGGCACTTCCGCAGGCGGCCACGAGGGAGCCCTGGAGGGGCTGGCTGCCATGCTCCTGCCTGTGGGCTAGCGGAAACCTCCATGCTGGCTCTGGGTGGCGGGGCCGCGGCGCAAGGCCTCGGAGCCTGTTTGCAAAGGAGATGGCAGGAGGCCGTTTCACGACCCAGACGCGCAGGGTTGGGTTATTTTTATGCTTGTCAAAAAGTCAGAACATTTACCAGGATGTGAGATAAGCCATCACAATTTGACTATCTGATTAAAAATGTTTTTCCCCAAGTACATTAGAAAAAAATGCGAATCTCAAAATGCAATAGTTTAGGGCCATTAGGCCAGCTAGACTCAGCAGAAAAAACTAAAGAGCACTTCCATTTTTATGGCACAAGTTTTCAAATGATCTAAGTAAAGGCCTTCTGGGTTCAGGATTCTAAGTTGGTAAGCGCTACGTTTTAGCTGAGGTTGCTTAGCCAGGTAACTTAGCAGCCAGAATGGCTGCACTGTACTCCCTGAAGCAGGGTTGTCAGATTTAGCAAATAAAAATACAGGCATACTTACACTAAAAAATTATTTGTTTATTTGAATTTAGACTTCACTGGGCTTCCTGTATTTTATCTGGCAACCCTAAGCTGGGGATATACCGTCGAGAGCCAAGTTCAGGGCCAACTTCTGGGCCTGGTTCCAAGTTCAGTGTGCAGGGCGCGCAGTCGAGGCCAGCCAGGCGGCACCCACCTCCCTCTTTTCACTCTTTCATTTCTTACTTAAAGACAACTAAGGTGTCATATACCTTTGTGGAGGGCCTTCGTTTCTTTTTGGATCACGTCAGAGTATAATTCCACGCCCCCCAACTTAGTGATTATAAACCAAATATTATATAAGTATCAATGGTCACCAAGTTTAAAGTTTATGAAGGAACCACTATATTAACAAATCACTTAATGGAAACATGAGGTGGCAACAAGACATGAAAATTTGTGTGAGAAAATATTTGGCTCTAAGAGCAAAAAGTAAAAATGATACTTTTGATCAACAAAGTATGGTTAAAATGTTACTTCTCCTTTTCCACCACCAAGAAAAAGATATTAATGATCTACTATTAGGGCAAATCTGGCACTGAAGTCTAACCTTGAACCAAACAAACACGTTAAGAAAACAAGTATCTGCTTTTTCAAGTAAGTTTACAGGAGATCTGAATTTTAGCTCCTATGTTATTATGGTAATTTCTTTTATAGATATTGGGTTATTCCGGTTTTCTTTCTTCTTGAGTCAGTTTTTGTATGTAAATTTCCTCCTTCTTAAAGTCATCCCTTCCCTTGCAGCGAGGACCCCATGTTCCTAGCTTTTTCCTCTTCTCTCTTGTCCATTTATCCCTGGTCTCCTTGCCAGTTGCTCTTTAGCTAACCATCTTTCAATGCTGGAAACATTTTAGGCCTCTTTTCTCCTTTCCCCACCAGGTGATCTCATTGGCATTGATTTTTTGACCTTGCTTATGGTGCTTTTTGTTATTAAAAAGTTTAAAATTTTTATGCAATCAAATTTATCAATCTTTCTTTTATGGATTCTGGGCTATATCCTGCCTAAAAAAGATTAAGCCATAGTTTAATTACTAGGACTTCATTACTATGTTGATGACTCCTAAATTTTAACCCCAGCCTAACCTCTTTTCTAAGATTTAGACTCACATAAATAGTGATCTACTCAATATCTTTACTTATTATCTCATAGGCATCTCCAACTGAATATACCTAAAACAAAACCCATGATCTTACCTCCTCAAACCGTTCCCCTCTCCAGTACATCCGAAGTACAAATTTCCAGAAATGGGATTGTTGAGTCAAACGTGTACAAAAGGTGTAATTTTGATAGAGATTGCTAAATTTCCTTTCAAAGGGCCTGTATCAATTTAAACTCACACTAGCAATGTAGCTACTTTCTCCATGGCCTTGTCAACAGGGTATGCAATCAAACTTCTGGATATCTGTAATCTGATAGGTAAAAAATAGCACCTTTGTGTAGTTTTAATTCATGTTTCAGTTATTATGAACAAGCGTGAGCAGATTTTCATGTGTTTAAGAGCAATCTGAATTTCTTGTTATTGCTCAGTTTTCTATTAGGTCATTGGTTTAGGTTATTGACCAATAGGAACTCTTGATACAATAAGGAGAGTATTAGTGGTGATATGAACTACAAATATTTTCTCCCAGTTTGTCTTTGACCTTTGTCTTTTTTTTGTTTGTTTCACCATACAGATATTTTTGTTTTTCTATAGTTAAATCTATCGATATTTTCTTCTGTGCTTTCTGGGTTAGTCAATTAGGCCTTCTTCACTTCAGGATTAGAAAGGAACTGCCCTGTTCTCTAATATTTTCATGCTTTCATTTCGTATTTTTAAGTCTTTGATCCATTGGAGGTTATCCTGGTGAACAGAAGAGTGGTGTTAAAGTGTAAAATGAACCATGTCTTTCCTTTGCTTATATCACTTTAATGGTTTTCTATTGCTCTTAGGATTAAATTTCAAATTCTTAACATGGTCTATTAACTCCAGTGTGATCTGGCTCTGTTCTTTCCGTAAAATCACTACGTAACGTCCTCCCTTTTACTCTCTGGGTCTCACTGACTTTCTTTCTGTTCCTCAAAGTAGTTATACTTCTTCATGTCTCAGAATTTTGCATAAGCTGTTCTGGAACTGAAGTTAAACCTCTCCATGACACACTGTTAAATCATCCAGGGCTGCTGCTTTGCAGCACCTATTACTGTAGTTAATTACCTGTGTAATTATGTACTCAACGGCTGTCTTCCCTGCTAGATCATACACTCTAAGAAATCAGACGCTCTAGGGGTCTTGCTCACCACTGTGGCCCTTTCCCCCAAGCACAGTGGCTGAAACATAGTAGCATTACAAATATTTGTTAAATTAATAAATGAAAAATAACAGGTTTAATGAAAAATTCTTTTAACAATACTTTCATTTTTTTCTGATTATTAGTTCACTAAATAACCTCTGACCTATAATTTATTCTGCTAAATAATCTATATAATCAGGAAAGACGTGTCATCTAAGTCACTGATACCAGGTATCCTATCTCCTTACGAATTAATAAACTATTCTGGCTTATAAATTAGCCTTTTATGAATATGGCTAGGGACAATCGATCCCTAAACTTTAACTTTGACTGAAAAACACAAAATCGGCCTCTAAATAAAAACTGGGCTTAGACTTTATAACAATTCATTTCTTTGATATACTAGGAGTTAGAATCAGCAATAAATACCCGAGCAGGTGTGTCTTAACTACCAGAATGTGAACCCGTGTCGCTCTCCTGACAAATACATTATGAATCCATTCAAACCACCAAGTACAACTCACCTCTTGAAAGTTATGCTGCGTGAACTTGTCTGCTATCCTTAGCAACTCACGACATGAATGTGTGTCAGCAAAAGCCCGAATGCCCAGGCAGTTGGAAGGGTCTAACTGTCTCTTTAGGAATTCACAGCAGGCTTCCTGTATTTCCGCCAGCTGGAGGAGGCAGGCGGCGGGCAGAAGGGTCTGAACGTTGCCCTCTTCCACAGTGACCTGGGAGGTGTAGGCAAAGTCAATGAGGAGCTCCATGGCCCTCTCGTCTATGTCTCGGATCACCACTTCTGTCTGCCGGCTCTCTGCCAGTTCTCCCGTGAACATAGCCCGGAAGTAGGGGCTGCAGGCGGACAGGATGACGCGGTGGGCATATATCTTCTTGGCGCCCACGACCAGCACCACGTCGCACAGCTCCCGGTGCTTTCTCAGGAGGTTAATCACTTCCAAGGTTTGTCGAGGGTGCTTGTCTGAGATGTAGGGCATGCGGGCAGGCTGGGGAACCCCTTCCGGCAGTTTGTTGGGGTCTCCGAGGGTGCAGCGGCTTGTCACATCCATTCCAGTTTCTCCTGGTCGAATGCTGGTACACCTGCAGGAGTGGCGGGGAGAGCGAAGAGAAGATGGTGATACTGTGAGAAGCTCAGTCCCGCCACGGTGTCCCTAAGTCCCCTAAGTCGAGAAGGAAACCTGCAGGTGGCGAGAGCGCAAGCCAGGCCCCAAAGCGCTCCCCATCTAAGAACCCTCGAGCTCAAAGGTCCTTGGAGCGTCCTGACAGAGGAACAGCGCCGGTTCTGAGCAGAGCACGCTCACTGTGTACTCCCGTAAAGGGAAGGACAGCTGTTTCTCATCTCAGAAGCAGCCAGGCTAGACTCTCTGACGACCGCCTGCACTACCTTAAAATGTATGGAAACAAGTGTAAATTATCATCTCTCTGCACAAAACAGACCTAGGGACTTTAATTCCTAATTCTAGTTTAACTAAAATCTTGGTATTTATTTTCCTAAAACACAGAAATGTTTATTTCTCATTACCACTGGGGGATATTTTAAGGTTCCGCTTAAAATCTATAAAATATAGGTCACGTTGCATGAAAAGATCTAAAGCAAAACAGGCCGGGGTCTGAAAATGGACTTTTTACAGTTTATACAGTCAGTCATAATGGTTCTAAAGAACTAAAAAACAAAGCTAAAAAAAAAAAAGTCAAAGCACGGGTTAAAAAAGGAGTGTGTCACTGAGATGCGACGCGTAACTGCGGAGGGCCACGTGGAAGTCAGAGAGTCCTTCAGTCTGGGAATGAGAGGGGAGCTTAGAATAAAGCTTTGGGATTCTGCAGAAAACGGAAGACTCAATTACACGGAGGAATCCGTGCTATGCCGGCAGCTAAGAAGAGCTCTGCATACCTTCAATCCAATATTCGCATTTCTAAAACGTTGTTGTTAAATCAACTGTGTATCTTACAAGTGAGGAAATGTAGTAAATAACTGCATTTACGTTAAAAGGCATAACTTGAAAACCAAGGACATGGTTCTCCCTTTCTCCCATAGCAACCTGTTTTTCCGAAGTTTTTATAAATTCAATCTTTCTGTGCTTGGCCTCAGCCCACAGGTGACTGTGTATTCTAGAGCACGGACTGTTCATGATTCCCAATGTCTGGCAGAAACAGCACTGTTTATGCTTGACAAATGGAAGACTGAGACAGAAAGCTGAGCAGTTAAAAGGGCAATTTTTACCACCCACATAATTAAGGTGGCTTTTAACCACAGTGCTTAGTGGTGCCTTGTATGCAGTAGATGCTGAAAGAATAAATCGCATGGTTAACAGAGGTACAATCAAGCTTAACAGAAAAAAAAACACTATTAAAGACAAGACTAATTCAAAAATTCCTGTTGTAATACTGAGATTACATGTAGAAATGAAAGCATTTTTGTTGCAACCTTAGTTATGTACATAAAGATGTACTCAAGTATAAACGCATTTCTTATTTCACCTAAGTACAATATGAAAGCTAAGTTCTATGGACCTATTTATTTATTTTAAAAGTATACCGTAGCAAAAAAAAAAAAAAAAAAAGTGCTGTTGTTGTGTTAGTATAGATTCTGACTTTCAATAATGGGTAATTTCTATATGCTCATCAACTGTGTGGTTTGCAAACTTGGAAGGAATTCTTTTAAATGTGGTCATTCTCCCAAGTTCTGTCCTGTCTGCTCTCTAAAGGTTTTATGGGAGAACTCACTTAACCTTATGGTTCCCATCACCCATATATGAATGGCTAAAGGAGTCTTAACTCCTACCTGGATAAGCTCTGAATTCAGATCTGTGTGAATATCCCCCACCACTCAAACTCAGTAGAGCTCAGTGATATATTTAAAACTGATTCCTTGATTCTCTTCTTTCCTCCATGTGCGTGTCTCTCCTCTAGTCTTTCTAAGATCAAAAAGCAATTTTACTTCTCCAGTTGCTCAGGCCAAAAATCTTGGAGCCCCTTCCCTTCCATTCACCTCAAAGCCGATCCATCAGCAAATCCTATCATTCTACCTCCAAAAACTACCTAGAATCTATTTCTTTAAATCTCCACTAGGCCCACCCTAATTAAAGCTATCCTTATCTTTTTATACTTTAATAACCTCACAAGTGGTCTTGCATCCGCCTTTGCCAATTTATATTCTTTAAACATCTGTTTAGACCTTTTAATTATAAAAGGCAAGGTGAGCGCCCCCTAGGATGATAAAGACCATGAGAAGTATTTCATTTACAGTATTTTTTTAAATTAAAAATTATTGGGGTGGAGTCTACGGCCATGCTACCCTGAACAAGCCCGATCCCGTCTGATCTTGGAAGCTGAGCAGGGTTGGGCCTGGTTAGTACTTGGATGGGAGACCACCTAGGAAGACCAGGTGCTGCAGGCATTGAAAAAAATTATTGGGGTGACATACGGTTCAACAGTATGTCACATATACATTGCATTGTGTGTTCACCACCCAGAATTAGATTTCTTTCTTTCACAAAATATTTGACCCGTTATGCCCCTATCTACCTCCCGGCTCCACTTCCCTCTGGTAACCATTAATCCACTGTCCGTGTCCATGTGTCTGTTCATTTGCAGTATGTTTTGGTTTGTTTTGAAACTGAAACAGAATTTGGGTATCATTAGGGGGGCCTGGACTCTTAGCTCCCCGCAGTCTCTGCCACGCTGTCTCATGTGAAGCTGTGCCATACTTTTATATGAACTACCTAGAGATATATGAGGATTTTGCTTACTTAACCTCTGTTCTAGAGGTATCAGGATTGTAACGTGGAGGACCAAACAATTCAGTATAATAAAGTAACAGTAATTTTGAAGGCAGAAAGTTTTAGGGGGAGAAAGAGAAAATTATAACAGAAAGAAAAGGAAAGGGAGACTTTTTAAATGGTGGCAGGTTGTGATCTAAGGAGAGAGACAGCCAGTGAGAAAATCATGAATGGCCAAAAAACTTTACGGTGCCCTCCATTATGCCTAAACTTTCAGTAAAAACGCAAGGTATTCAACGGCAGTGGTCAAGAAAGGTGATGAAGGAGACAGTGAGTATGGAGTATTTCTAGAAAGAAGCTTGCCTGTGAAAAGAAGAGACATAATGGTACTGTGTCTACTTAAAGAGATGAAAAACTGGAAAAGATTATATACTTAAGCTAAGAACCAGGAGGGAGAGGTTTAAGAATATAAGGGGGAGAGAATAAACGATGGAGCAAGATCCTTGGAGAATGGGAGTGTACAGAACACCGAGATGCAGAGTAATGGATCTCAGCCAAAAGCAAGAAGGGTTCCCATAAGAGATCAGAGGAAGGGAGCGGGAGGGACGATAATGTGGAAACGGGTACATTTATTTTGGGGTAGGAGGCGTCAGGAGCTGAGGGAAGTTCACACCCGATGGCCTCTCTTTTTTCCTGTGAAGTTGGGAGCTGGGGGAGCAGGTCATTTTTTGCCAGTGCGTAGGGTGAGGACAGGATGGTGAGAAATGGTAAGGATGTGAAACGGCTGCTGGGGGGTGAGTAAGCATGGCCTGGGACTCAGCATGAGTCTTTAATATCACTATTGGCTCAGGTGATATTAAAGACTCAGTATGGTAGCACGAACTCCTTGTGGCTGGTTTTATCCAGTGATGATCACCAGCCTAAATCAGAGAATATAAGTATCTGCATTAATCTAGAGTTGGGAAACACCACAGACAAAAGAGAGAGTTGGGTGATGGCTAGAAAATGGCTGAGGTGGTTGCAGAAGTGAACTGTGTGAAAACAGAAGGGGCAAAGGCATGGTCACCCCGAGTAGGTCAAAGAACAGATGGGGCGGGTGTTCAAGAGATTACGGTCAGGAAACAAGTTATGAGACTTAGGATTTCAGACAGAGCTTTTCTGAGTGGAAGCAGGA